GGACTCATGCGGGCTGGGGTCAGCCTCAAAACCTTCGCACCCCAAATGCCATCAGTGATTTGGGCTCGAGTTTCGGCCCTGCAGCGTGTATGGGATGCTGAGCCGATCTCACTCCTGTTTTCAGGAATAAATTCTCAGAAAAATGCTCGGAGGCAGCCCTGCAAGGCAACATGAATGCCTCTAGGTGTCACGAGAGTGTGTCGGATCACACCCGGCACACTGCCCTCATTGCTTGTCCGTATAAATCCAATATTTAGGGTCCCCCTCCTGCTGTGGGGGCTGGTATGGGGCAGCACGGGTGCTGTGCAGGGCACCCCAGCCCCACCTCATGTCCCAAAGAGCAGAGATGTTGGTGCGGGGTTGCCCGATGTGAAACGGGAGCTGGGCCCCACACCTCGTGCTGGGACAAAACCTCAGCAGCACTGCCTGGCAGGTCCCCATCCTCCAGTCCTGCTGGGGACCATTGCCCATCCCCATAAGGTGAGACCCCAAGTGCAAGGGCCCGTGGTCAGTGCTGGGTGACCTTTTTTTCTCACACCTTTCATCGCTGCAGAGAGCTGTGGGATCGAAGTTCTGGCATCTGCAGCTGGGCCTCCCACCCGCAGCATCTCTGGGAGGTGATGGAGGGATCTGGATCCCCCCAGGTGTCAGCCCTGCGTTGGGTGGACTTCCCGCTGCTCGGCCCCAAAGGGCGAGGTGGAGGTGGGTGAGAGATTTCTGGAGGTGGGGCGAAATCCATCTCACCTGCTGGGGGTGGTGGGGAGTCCATCCTCCTCCACTGACACCAGAGAGAGCCTGTGGTTGAGACTCGTAAGGACGCTTAGGAAAGAAAATCCAAATTACAGAAGGGTTTATGGATTAGACTCCTCGATAGGAGACTTTTACAAGGAATTCGGTTTATTTTCTTTCATTTAAGGAGAACAAGACTCAGTCATGGTCATTTTAATTCTGCTAAAAATGGTACAAAGAAGTTTAACGTGGCTTATCTTAATCCACTTGAAAAATCAATTCAGATTAATTTTCTGGAGTGCCTTGCATGGTTTGCCTTTGATTTTTTACATGTTAATTAGTTTTATTGTGTGTGGCTGAAACATAGCATGACCGTAGCTTCCGTCAGTCACACAAAATGCTCCCGTGGTTATGCACAGACTTGAAATACCAAGCTCTTGTGTCGGGTAAGCAGGAAGGAGGATGCTCCTGGATGGGTCCTGTTAACCATTGCACAGGATGGCGGTGGTGGGCAGGGACCTCTGGAGGTCCTGGGTCCAAGCCCCTACTGGGTGGGCTGCTCGGGGCCATGTCTACTTGGGTTTGAATTTCTCCAAAACCTCTTCAGTGTGAAACCTCTTCCAGTGTTTGATCACCTTTGTGGTAAAGAAGGCTTTCATATGTTTCAAACCCTCTGTTTTCTGTTCTTCTGTAGACGTGTCCCTTAGTGCTTGATCTGGAGCCAACCACGAAGTGACCAGAAGTGCTCCCTTGGGACCAGCCAGACCCCGACCATCCTGCAAGATCTGGTCACCAGCTCCACGTGCTGTCTGATGAGGGTTTCTGTGTTGGCTGCTAGCGTTTCAAGGCTGAGATATCCAGGGCTGGTGCCTACCTTGGCATGATGTACAGAAACGTGGACTGGATGGGTTCAGAAAGCAACCGCTGCATCTCAGCGAATGACTTCTGGAGCAACCTGTGGAATAGGAAAATGTTTTCTGTGTGGCACAGAGACGTAGAGACACCTCTTAAAACATAGGAGAGGTTGTCCTGAACTACACCAGCAGGACCTCATCCTTTTACAGGGTCACCTCTGATGACAAGACCTTGATACACTGGATTGATTGTGAATTTGCTGAGTCCCTCTACTCCATCTTTTGGGTTTTGGGGAAAGAAAACTCTGTCAGGTCTGTGCAGCTGGGTCAGGTCCCACCTCCTTGCCTTCCCTGTGGTGGCTGCTCCCTTGAAAGCATCTGAGTCAGACCTGACCAGGGCTTAGGTTATGGTGTGATGCCGGTGCTGGTATGGCAGGTAGCTGGCAAACAAGGGAGACATCTCAATAAAGGCTCTTGTAATCAGGTGTGCCTCTTAGCACATTTTGGAGATGCACATGGCTTGAGAGTTCACAGAGTATTTTGTCCAGGGGTCAGCGCAGATTGTTCCCAGCACTGTGTCCCTTAATGTTCTGTTTTGTATGAGGTAAAGCCATTATATTTATTTTATTTTATTTTATTTTATTTTATTTTATTTTATTTTATTTTATTTTATTTTATTTTATTTTATTTTATTTTATTTTATTTTATTTTATTTTATTTTATTTTATTTTATTTTATTAATTTCTCCCCCAGTGATGGTTTCGTGCCACTGCCCTGAGATATTGGCTTCACCATGCCTGGTGTACGTGGGCATGCCAAGGTTTCGTTGCCATTTTCCCTGCTGTACCTGGATAAATGGTCCCAGCTCAGTTCTCAGCCAGCTTCAGGATCAGGGTGGCCCTGGGGTGATGAGAGGTCCCTCTTGGTCCTGCCGTGCCCAGGTCTGCCCGAGAGCAAAGAGCTGCGGTCGTGCTTTGCTCCAGGCAGAGGGTGCACACAGTGACCCCAGGAACACCCCAAAACCCCCTTCCTTCTCCCAGGGTAAGTGGGGAGCAGGACGGAAGCGCTGGGGGTGAGCAGAGAGCACTGGGGGCTGCCAAACTGTGGAAAGATGAGGATGGGAGGGAAGGCGAGCAGGGAGCAGCAGTGGAGCCGGCACCCACAGGAGGGTGCTCTCAGCCCGCTGCTCGCCTCGCTGCCTGCAGAAAGGGGCCTGGAAAGCGGCTGCTGCCTCTCCCTCCTCTCCCTTGTCTCTCTCTCCTTCCTCCCAGCCTTCATCTCCCCCTCCTCTCCCTCCTCGCCTTTGTCTCCCTCCTCTCCCTCCTCTTCCTCCTCCTCGTCCACGCTCCCTTCCCCTTGGTGAGTCGCTTTCGAGTGCAGCTTTCAGAGCACTGTGGGGGCAAAGGTGACTGCGGTGAGGGGGTCCCATCGTGGGCTAATTTAGGAGTGAGAAGCACGGAAATTTCCCTGCGTGCAGGTGCTCCTCCACAGGCTGGGTCAGGCTGCAGGCTCAGCACCATGGGCTGCTGATAAACTCAAGCTTTCCCCCCTCCAGAAGCCAGCAGAGGGACAGAAGCTGGTACAAAGCACCTCGTGGAGGAGGGGAGTCCGTCTTGCCCCGTTCTGCAGGTGGGGAAACTGAGGCAGGGGTTGGGGAAGCTGTTTGCCAGCGGCCACCTGGCAGAGACACAGCTGGGTCTCAGGGTGCCTGGCTAGCACTGGGCCAAGAGCAGTGCTGGAAGCAGGTGATGCTCTTTGTCCCAGGTACTTTTGGCCTTGGGGCTGAGATGGATAAATCTGTTCATTGCGCTCTCTGTACAAAACAGAAACAGAAGTGGAAAGGTGGGATTGAATGAAAGGGAACGGCATCAAGGCATGGGAATCTGCGCGTGGTTCCTCTAATGCTCACTAAAGGGTTGGCCAGAAGCCAGGCTTCAATTTCTGAAAGTTGTCTTTGGGAGAAAAAGACAAATAAAATGTCAAACAAGGCCAAACCAAAGCCATTGACTGTTGAAATCAAATGGTTTGAGTTTATTCTCATTTGACCTCTATAAAAATATGTGAAACAGAAAAAAAATCTGCTTTCTTATGACCCGATATGTCAAGAATTATTGTTTCATAAAATGATCAAACAAAATCCAGTGTCCTGGAGATGAAGCTCTTCGTGGCATCTGGAGGGAAGATGCCCATACCCGTGGTGAGGGCAGTAACAGGCAGGTTCCCCCAGCAGGTCCAGGGTGGCCTCTCCGCTGCCGAAGTGGGTGGATGCGCGTCTAAAAGAAATGTTGTGCTGGTGCTGAGTGTGTAACAGCTGGTGCTCAGAGAGGCCCTTTGGTCTGTGTTATGAGAAATGTCAAATTAGACAATTAAATCAGTCCCTGTTGGTTTTAAGCCTCATGGATCCGTAGCCCTCAGGGTACACTGACAGATTTACTGCCATTTCACTGGGACTCGTTACATGAGTATTTTGCTCCAAGACACTAAGTAGAGCACAGGGGCTGTAAATCACATCCATACATCAGCCCTGGCAGAAGGGGATCTGATACTGAAGAGGGTCCAAAGGGGACAGCGTGGCCAAAGCAGAGGCTTCCCACTGCTCTTGGGCCTTGGAGGAATTTGAAATGAGGAGCTGAGAAGCGCTGGGGCTGCAGTGAGTCCCCAGTGGTCCCAGGGACAGCGTGGAGCATCGCCTCTCCTCTCCTTGCAGGCTGTTTCCTCTCTCCCGGCAGCGCTCTGCACCCACACCTGGAGTGTTCCTGGCCGTGTCCTGTGCTTCTCCTGCCAGAATTAAGACTGCACGTAGGGGAGACAGGCTCCCAGTTCACCCTGACGTTGACAGAGGGAGGAACAGCCACAAAACATGCTCACCTCGAGCTGCTACAGAGCTGGGTCCAGCCCTGAACCCAGACCCCGGCTCAGTCCTGCTCCCTGCTCATCCTGGGTGTAGACTCTCCAAAACTCACCTCCCAGCACCGGGTGGCACAGGCAGGGACGTCGGTGGTGGCACCGCTTAGCCCCATGTCCCTGCACCCCTGCTGAGGTTTGTGCTGGAGAAACCTGCACCCAAAGCCAGCTCTGCTGCTCGGCTCAGCTCTCGTTTTAGCTTGGCAGCCCGTGCCTGGGAGTTACATATTTTATCCTCAGAGTGCCAAGCTGCTCCATCCCCAGGCTGCGTTCAGGGATTGGCATGCAAATAAGCCTGTTGCTGCCTCAGACTGTGATAATTAAAAGTGAAGTTGTAAAACAAGCAGCATCAATTTTGGTGCACGTCCCCAGCAACACATGGTGATTGGACTGAGTTAGGAGGCATTTCCAGCTACGCAGCAATCTCTAAATAGCCTGGAGAGAATACATGGGAATTTAGCTTGTGCAGCTATTTCAGATGTCAAAACAAGTTTTCTTGTTAATATGAAACTCTTTGGACTTTGCATTTTTAATTAAAGCTTTTAATTATCCAACTGTATTTTATTAGCTTTTATGAAGACAGCTGCTTTAAGCGCTATAAGCCAAATCTGTGCTCTGAAGCACTGCTTGTCCGAGTCAGGATCTCAGTTGTGAACAGCCTTCATTGTGAGTAAATGGGGTTGTTTAATTTAGACTGAAATTACTGTCCCAGCTTGATTGAAACTCTTTTATGGCAGAGACAACAAACAACCTCGGTGGGAGCGTTTGTGCGCCCACGGCTGGGCGGGATGCTGCGCTGGCAGCTCGGGGGCTCCGTGCCAGCCCCTACCAGGGCGAGCATCAGCTGCCGCTGGCGAGGACTTCTCTGCCCACCACACCTCTCTGCTCACATTGCTTTGCCTTTGAGCACTAGGCTGAGACTGGAAGCCGCTGGGTGGAAGCCTCTTGCCCCCTTGTGATGGGTTCTGAGGTGCTGGGGCTGTGTGGATGGAGCCGGTGCTGCTGATGGGTCCCTGTGGGGCAGTGGGGCTGCCCTGGCTGTGCAGGAATCTCGCTGGGCTCTGGTTTGGAGGGGGGCAGCCTTCACAACTGGGCTTCTGCCCTGCCTGCTCTTCAGTGCCATGATCACAGACCGTCTTTATCGTGCAACAGCTAATGCCTGTGGGCCTGTTCACAACACAGATGACTTATTCGCTGGGATCATGTTATTTACATCTGCAGTGTGGTCTCTCTCTCGCTCTGCAGCATGCCAGGAGTTTAGCAGCTTGTAGAAGCCTTTCTGTCCTGCCTGTGCAGGAGGAGAGGCGAAGAGGAATAGACTATTGAACAGAAGTGCAAGGGAAGAGCTGACAATCAGAATGGGGTTGTGCTGAGCTCAGCGCTGTGTTCAGGGGGAGCTCTCTGGTTCAAGACCTTACTCTTCATCACTGTCAAATATTCTGCAAAACATACTAAATCATCTGTAATTTGGTGAGAAGAAAGGTAAGGTGGGCAGCTTTTAAACACCGATGCAGGTCAGTTCACAGCTGGTGAGACCGAGCAGGATCACAGGATGAAGCAGCAGCAGCAGCGCATGGAGCTGGGCGGGCAGCTCGGGAGCCCTTGTGCTTGTTTCTTTGGTAGAGGACAGATCAAAAGCCTCGGGCTGGGCAGGACTGAGCTCTCTAGACCTGTGTGTAGCTGCTGGCCATGAACTTTCTTCTGTCCTTTTATGTTGCAAGGGAGCTTCAGGTGGGATTGATGTCGGCATGGCACGTGCAGGTCAGGAGCACAGCAGTGCACACGCTGTTACTGAGTGTGTCTCTGTGCTGCTGAAAGAGCAGTCAAGTGACTGTCTCCTGGCTTACCTCGGGTCGATGCCCATGCTGATGATTTGTACCCGTGGAGCGTTGCGTTGCAGATGAGAGCTGAACTTCTCCAACAGGTGCATTCCCAAGTGCCTCCCATTTATCCAGTCCCCAGTGAAAGCTGCTGCATGCACTAGGGGCTGTCCTGTGCTTGGGGATGTTTCTGCTCTGATGGTAGCACCCGTGTCCAGCAGTGTGCTGGAAGGGCTCTGACACCCAGGGGCATGTCCCAGGACACCTCCAGGTGGAGATGATGGGCAGTGATGGGAGTCGTGCCCAGCTGGGGGGTGACAGGGACAGAGCATCAGAGAATAAGGGCTTCATTGGGCTGGGGCTAGGGCAGGGAGAGGCTCCAAAGGCTGCCCTGAGTCCTGGGGAAAGTCCAGTTGGTTGGTCTGTAGCACAGACCTGGTGGCTACATGGTGATGCTGTCCTCACCAGGCTTCTTGTTGTCCCTGGACAGTGGGATATAAAAAGGGCAGAGAAAGTTGAAAGGAGAAATACGAAAGCTAATGAACTTAAGAAATAAGAATAAGAAAGCTAATGAATGGATGCAAGAAGGGAGTCAGAGCGGAGCTGGCAGGGAACAGGCTTATTGTCACTTTTTTTTTGTGCAGAAATGCAGAGAAACCCCTCTGTGCACCTTGATGCCTCAGGGGTCCAGTGGTGCCATGCTGCGCACAGCGTCAGGGTGGGGGCTACAAACCTGCCCTGCTTCTGCCTGGAGAGCAGCACGGGTGGCTCCTGCACAATCAGAAATAATTAATAAAGTGCCTTGAACCTGCTGCCAGGTCTCCTGGTGCTGAGGGATGCAGCAGCAGGCTGAGTACCTCTGCTATGCAGGGCTCAGAAACAGGTGAGAAACAGCCAGTTTTGATACGCAGCACAGCAGGGCGTAGCAGGGGCTCCCATGTCTTCTGCAGGGGGAGAACATTTTTAGGGTGCTTTAATGGCTTTTGATCAAAAGGAGCTGCCCTGCAGGAGCATCCTGTGATGCCCTGTGCAGGATGCAGGGACAGGATTCAGAAAGGGGAGCTGCCACACTGTGCACACCCAAGGATAAGGGAATTTACCGAGTGCTTGAGGCCAAACAGGGATGGGAGAGCAAGGTACCAGTGCTCATAAAAAAATAATAATAAAAAAAAGCCCTGTGTCTATTCAATACCAAGAAGTGTCATGTGTTTTTTTTCTTCCTCTGTCCTTTTTTTGTGTCTTTTTTTTTTTTTTTTAAATCCCCCTTGGAATCTTTAAGGGGAGGTTTCCCGAAAAAGATGCAGTATTCTGTGTCAGGATCTGGGCCTTGCTGCAGCTGAGAGCTCATAACGATGAAGATTTAATGCAAATCAAATGGACTTTTCATCTTAGCAGAGAAGTATTTACAGCCCATTAAGTAGATGGGAAAACTGGTCATTTTTTTTGGAGGGGAGCAGAGAAAAAAAAAAAAAAAAAGAAGTGCTGCCTAAAAAAGTGGCCACAAAAGGCTCTTAGCTTGAGAAATTTAGCCTGAGAAATTTATCAGCTTTTGGGGATGGAAAACTCATCATTTATATATAAAAATATATCACTTTTAATTACACGGCCAACTTCAGCTTTACTCATTAGCTACTTGCGCTGCTCTGCCAAGTTACACAGTGGTGAGCTGGCTGGGATATTTTATCTGGCATTTTACCCTGGATCAGAAAAGCCAGCGTATGGCCTCATCGGCCTCTGCTTTCCTGGGTCAGAGGGTAGGGAAATAGATGCAAAAAGTGGAGAAAAGCAGGAATTAGGGGATGGGGAGGGGAAGGTATTGATGCATACATCTTGGGTGAGGGGCTCTGGCACGTGTGGTGCCTTTGGGGCTGCAGCTCTTTGTCTCCTTGCCCTGCTCCAAGGCCGATGGCGAGGTGTTGGAGATGAGAGCATCCAAACGGCCCCTTTGGGGTCACCTTCCTGGAGTCTGGCCCCTCTATTTCACTTGGGTCACATCCCTCTCTCCTCCTGGCTTATGCTTGTGTCGTCTTTAAATACCTCTGATAAGGCCCTGACCTGTCACTGGGATAACCAATTTCTGCACCTAATCACTCACTTCTAAGACAGTTTTTCTTAATGTCTTGCCTGAAATATTTCCATTTTCAGCTTCAGGCCCCAGCACTCCTTGTTTTACCGTTTCCAGATCATTTAAATAATCCCCCTTCCTCCTTTGATGGTATTTCCCTGAAGGTATTTATAGCGTTATCATGCTCCCCATTTAATCTCCTTTCTTCCAGACTGTATAAAATTAAACTCCCCCTTCTCCTCTCCTTCGCCTGCTTTGTGTGTTTGTGGCAGCTTCTTCTGAGCTCTCTCCAGCTGCTGGGACCCCTCTGGGCCCTGTGGCCATCCCAGTGCCATGGCACAGGCATCGCACAGTCCCTTGGGGGAGGGTTGCAAAAGACCCTGTGTAGTTTAGAGCATCTGTCGGCATTTCCCCAGGTCAGAGCTTTGCTGGGGAGCCTGGTGTGGTTTCAGCAGCTGGTCCATGTTGTTTGGCATGCACAGCGCTAAGATGACCCTAAGACATGCCTGGCGTGCCAGCCAGCTGTGTTTGCAGGGGGTTGGTGGCCTGTGGGGTGTGATGAATCCTGTTTGTTCAGCCTGGAGAGAGCCTCCAGCAGCAAGAGGCTTCAGAGAGGATTTTCTTTGAAGCTTTGGGGTACTTTCTGAGCACAAAAGCCCCAGCAGTGTGAGCTGCTCTGGGCACTGGGGCACTGCAAGAGCACCCGGCACTCTCCTGGGGTGCTGTAGCTGCAAAACCAGGTGAACCAAACACGGCCAAACCAATATTCTGCCGTTGTTGCCCATGGAAAAGGTCAGAAGCAAGCATCAATAGCAGAGCAGAGTGCTTTAGAGAAGACTCTGTTTGGTCTCCTGCTCCAGCCCTTCCACCTGGCTGCTGCTGCCTCCTTCTGCCCCTTCGTCGTATCCCTGGGAGCAGAAGAGCTGCGTCTGCTCCTAGATTGCCTCTGGCTCCTGTGGGTGGGGAGCAGAGGATAGTGCAAATAGAAAACTGAAGCCCTTTTCCAGGAGCAAATGGTGTCTCTGGAAGCAAAAGTCCTGAAGGAAATTAATGTATTTTTTTTTTTTTTCCTACATCAGAACCTGAAATATACGTTTTCTGCATTTTGGAAGAAAAGCAAAAAACAAAACAAAACAAAAAAACTTCCAATGAAAATGGAAAACATTGATGTTTTAGAACTTACCCCAAAGGAGGGAGATGTCCCCTGCTTTTCCTTGGTTTCCCAGCCCAAGCTGCAGGATTGCACAGAGCTGCATCAAGTCTGCAGACCCTGGATTAGAAATATGTGGCTTAACTCTGCAATGTGTCGGCTGCAGACACTTCATTTCTTCATGTTTGAGTCATGACGTGGCCAAAGTTTGTTGGGAGCTGCCTGGTTTTGTAGATGTCCCCGTCACTGCAGCCGCATGTTTCTCCCCTTGGGAAGAGCACTCACAGGGCTGCCGTGGCACCGGGGTCTGCAGGGGACAGGGGGCTGAGAGCGCTGCCTCCTGCTCCTTTCTGGCTCATAGCGCCCACACCTTGCGTCACCCAGCAAACGGGAATTAATGGGCAAGGCTCACAGTAGCATCATTGTTTTGCATGTGTGGGATCCTGAAGGCAGCCCTCCCTTCTTGCAGTCACCTAACTGGCAAGAAATCAAGGGATGCTGAGAGCAAAATAAAATAAATAAATAAATAAATCTACTCCCCCCCCCCATTCAAGTCTTCTGTCAAACCGTTAAGTCATATGACGGAGCAGTAAATAATGGATCTTGTGACCTAGACCTGCAAATATTTACATTCCCTTGGCTTGGCTGATAGCAGGGGTTCGTCTTACCACGTCTCACCTAATTAGCAGAGGGCTACAAGAATCCAGTGGTGGGCTCTGGTTTCTTTTCCACCTCGTTTATAAGGCATGCCACTCTCTCTCTTGCCATGTCGTTTGCACACTGGTACATGTCAGCAGCAGCGCGCAGGCAAGGTGTGCGGTTACGCACGGGGACTGGCAGGACTCGAATGCATCAGCAGCTCAGAGGCCAAGAACAAGTTCCTGCAGCCACCCAAGAAGGTGCTGGCCTCGATCCCCCTTTAATCTTGATTGCAAAACCTGTCCAAGGGCTGCCAGCGATACAAAGCTCCCAGTGGACTGTGAGCTCCCTGGTTTCGGACTCCTCCACGTGGCTCAGCTGGCTGTGCCGGTACTGGTGGTAAAGCCTCACCATCCTGCTGCCGGGGGAGAGCTCCTGGCTCTCCCCAGTTTGGGAGGGTGCTGGTTGGCACGGGTCACAGCCTGTGGTCAGGAATGTCACAAGCAGTGATTTTGAGCTCATGGTCAGGCTGTGCCCTGGCTCGGCTAAGTTTACGTGGGCAGGGGGAGCTTGCTGCGGGCAGGACCGTTTTGTGCAGGTGTGCTAGGAGACATTTCTTTGATAAGAAAATAAGAAAAAGAAGTGGGGGGAGAGAGGGAGAAAAAAGAAAAGAACTGTAGCTGGTTGTGGCTGGCCCAGCTGCAGTGCAGTGAGTGGGCAGAGGATGTCCAAGGCAGCTCCAGCCCGCTGGTCCTGCCAGGGGTGCAGCGGGGCCTGGCTGGGGGCGAGCTCCCTGTGGCTGCAGCAGCAGTGCCCGTGGGGATGGGACAAGATTGTCCATGCTACAGACCTGGCAGCAGAGAAGCAAAGGCAGAACAAGCTCCAGACCAGAGACACCCAGTCAATGAAACGTTTTCTGAAACTGGAATTTCAATTTAACTCTCCTCTACGTGCAAACCTGATTCTGTTCTTTCTTTTTTCTTCCTTACACAGAAATGCGGATAGATGGGGAGCACAGTGAAGCAATGTCATTTCAAAGCTAAACACCAGCTTTTAGAACAAATGGTTCTGAAATAAAGTGATGAAATAGTTAAAATGGCACATAATGGCAGCTTGTGAGTAAAGGTGAAGCCTTCCTTATTCCAACACACAAGTTTCTGGCATCACAAGCTCTCAAGGCCTGAGGTAGGAAATGTCAAATCAGCAAAGAGGAATTTTTGTTTGGTAGGTTTGTTTTGTTTTTCCATGGCATAGCCTTATTCCTCATTCACCCACGTCTCTGCTTCAGGCAGTGCCCCAGAAATTCTCAGCTTTTTAAAGGATCACAGTAACTGCAGTAACCCTGCAGTGGGAGGGGGGAAGGAAAAAAACATAACTGATGCCTTGGAAATGGGGTGATAAAGTACTTAACACTTTGGTAAATATGTTTCCATTGTTCTATTAAACCATAATTTACTCTTTATAATGGCAAACACTTTAATTGGGCACAGAAAGCAACTAGGAACAGACCCTTCCTTTCCATTGCACCAGAGGAAGTGTGTGGCTTGGCAATTGTGTGAGCTTTGAGGGCCATTTGATGCTGGTGGACCAGCTGCAGAACACGGCTGAGCCCTGCTTCAAGCCCTCACGCTGTGTGTGACTTGTAGCTGTCCAGGAGTCTGTCTGCCTCAAGAAATGTCAACTAGGGATACTTGGACCTGCGAGGTGACATCTTCCCTGCCTGCTCACAGCTCCTGTATAAGATACGGAGATATGTCAGAGCATGTGTGCCTTCAGGGCAGGCTGGAAAACCCCCCCCCAGTGACTGCAGGCTGGAGGGCTTTGGCCACAGGTGGTGCAGTTAGGTGACAGAAGGGGAGCCAAGGGGTCCCAAACTGAGCCTGGGTTCAGTGAGGGCTGTTAGATGGGGAGCTGGGTACTTTCCCTGAGCTCTTGATGTGCTTTAAATGCCATGAAGTCTGTTTAAAATGACCTCACTTTGTTGGTTGGACTATTTAATCCAGCAGATGCACGCTCCAGCTTCGCTGACAGCCACGCTGGTGGAACTTCTGCTTTCTTAGCCCTGTTCCCAGTGACTAGTCAACCAAATCTGCCTCATTTCCATCACTCAGCCACTTCACCTCCAGTAACAGTGCCTAAGGAAAGCAGGAGGCATGGAGCATCCCTTGGAGCATGCACAGACACTCACTGTCCTCTCCCAGCTGCAGCTGTGCTGAGACGAGCCCTGGCCCTTTGTCACTCCCTTCCTGCTGCTGCCAAGCTACTCTCTTGCCTATTTCGTGGTAGTGACAAACTGAACCTGGCTAGTTTGGTTGTTTTGGCTGGAAATGAGTGGCACAGCCCTGCCTGGGAAGGCAGACTGGTAGGAGGGCAAACACATGCAGTGCACACTCTGCCATGCATGATACGGTGTGTGCGCTGACACACCCGCCTCTGCATGCCTCAGGGCTCCAACCCCTCATTTCACCATTTCCCTCTTTCCTTTCCTCAGTCTCTCACCAGAAATGGATATAAAGCACTGCTCTGGGTTGGATGGATATTGCCCAGTGTGGGAACTTGCAGACACAATCTGCTTCACCCCCTGCTCCGCTGGTCACTGCTGATCCTGCACGGCTCTGGCCAGGTGATGGGCAAAGCCTGGGCACTGTATGCAAAGGCTCCGAGCTGCAGGTGCTGCCCTGCCTTTTGAGGGCCTTCCTGCAGTATCCAGCAGTGCAGAGCCCTTAGCTCTGCTTCTTGGCTCCTGGCAGGGCACTAAGCTGGCTCTTCCCAGAATCCATGACTTGAAATGAGAGAAGAACAGCCTGAGAACGCAGGGCTGTGTGCAGGTTGGAGGAGCTCTGCTGCATAGGGATGGCCTTCGTTTACTGCCTCTTGATCCTGGTGCGCAGTGGTACAAGGCTCCTTTGAATTAAATTATTAAGTTGGTGATAAGAACATCACGCTCAATTTGTTGGCGTTCCGCTAAAATGTCACATACATGATTTATATGGAGGAAGGAATGAAAAGAGGGGCACAATTATGAGCTTGACCCTACATAAATTAAGGAGCAGGACACCCCTCTCCCTTCACTCCCCCTTAAAGCCAAGCTGTTTTTGTTGGGGTGGATTGGGTTACCAGAACAACACCCCTGCATGCAGAAATGCAGAGGGAAGGGAAAGCTGGGGCTGGATGTCAAGGGGCAGGCTGGGGGGGAGAGGGGCGGCAGCAGGACCCGATGCAGGGAGGATTGGGGAGGAAAGAAAGAAAGGGTGGGAGCCTGTGCAATCGTCAAACAGCAGTGGCAGCTCTCAGGAACTCGTACTAGGGGAAAACAGCCCCTACACTGCACTGCATGTATTGCTGCTGGGCTTTTGATTTGCCAAGTTAAGAGAAATGTTGACCTCCAGAATCCGTGCACTGAAATGTTTCAGTGGAGGAAGGGAAAAGCTACTTCTAGCTCCTCTGTTTACTGTGAGTTACAAGCAGAACAACTGCTGTCTGATGTAGGCTCTTTGTCAAAAGCTGGAATAAACCTACCCTCATACCTGTCTTTGGTGGCCTTTTCTCCCTGTGGTGCTTGTTGCTAAGGAATGAGGAGGTGAACAGGAGCTGCTGAGGAGCTGCTGAGGACCTGGAGAGCCAGCCAGGAGCCTGTGGAGATGGACTCGAGTGGTGCAGCAGAGCCTGGGCGCTTCAAGGGGGCGGCGAAGGTGCATTGTAAGGGGTTACAGCAGGGACACCAAAGCCTGAGATGTGTCTGTGGCTAGCTAAGGCTTGAGAGAAGGCTTAACTGTTTTCCCTGCCATGTCCATCATGTAATTTCTTTTGGTTTCTTTTCTGTAAGACGTGCTCATTGTCTCTGCTGGGCTGATGGAGGTCTCGCTTGTGCTCCCAAGGGTGAGTTTGATGATGACATTTTGTGCAGCCAGAAAAGAGCTGCATTTCCCCATGGGCAGCCCCAAGAACATGCATAGAAATTGTGACCTGCTGGGCCTTCGGCTACTGTGTGCTGGACCCCACACAGCCTGTGAATGCTTCTTTATCTTCCTGTGCCATGTGCCGTGCTTGTCTAGGCTGGGGGCCTTGCATCATTCTTACAACACTTCTCAGCCTGACCTGTAATGCCCTCGGTTGTACAAACAGTCACATGAGTGAATGTTATTCATGTCTCATACAGAGCTTGCACTATGTCTTGGGCAGTGCACTACAAACTTTTTAAAAGAAAAGCAACTGAATAAAACCCAGTCAGCTTTACTCCAGGGCCAGCATCCTCACTTCTTGTGCTGTGGCCAAGGAGGCTCCGACGGGGCTGCAATTTCTTGCTCACAATGGCTCTCTGTGGCTGATGGGGATGGAGAAAGCTTCCCTTCATCTGTCAGCACCACAGCCACAGTGCTGGGGGCACAGACAGGCGCATCCAGGGGGATTGCAGCAGCTGGAGGCTGTGTGCCTCGGATGCTGCAGGAGTCTAGCTGCTCCTAGGCAGCAGGATGTGCCCTGACGGTGCTCCAGAGATCTTTGGGTTTTGCAACCACACATAAGGGGTTGGGAAGCTTAAAGCCCTGAGTGACCCATCCCATTCAGCTCCAGCAGTTCAGCCCAGCCAAAAGCCCCCATGAGACAAAACAGCAAGCACAGGCATGTAAGTGCATTAAAATTTTAATTGCAACTGAAACGCTTCTTCCCAAATTTGTATGCCCATGTTTATGTCTTTTAATACTGAGTAAATTAGGCTTGATGCTAGCCCAGACTGGCTTGGTGATAAATGGTGTGTGGAGAGAAGTTTTATGGGGCCATCACGGGGTGCTTTATCTATTGCCACTTGCAAGCTGCCAATTCCTTCCTTATTTATTTTCAGAATTAATATTTATTGATTCCGTCCCTTCCCATTGCCCCAGCTGCACATGACCAGAGAACAAACAGAGGCTGGTGTGGGTGATAAGGATGCGGCTGGCTCGAGAGACAGCTTTCAGATGGCATGGCAGCCCAGGTCACTGGTGGGGCCGGGGCTAAGCCTGGCTACTGCCTGACATGAGCTGCTGGCTGGGTGTGGGTCCATCAGCAAGGCCGAGATGCTCATCAGGTCTGAATAAATAAAGTAGGGCATTCATATGTGGTTCTGGGTGAACACGGACCCCATCGGCCCCTGTCAGCACGGTGTGGCCTAGCATGGCTGCTCTGGCAGCCCTGCACTGCATGCCTGTGGTGGTGCCTCTCCATTTTAAGGGGCAGAAGGTCTGCTACAGCTTTAGTGAGGGAAAAATATTTTTAAAAAAGGACAAAATACCCCAAACGGGGCTTGTCCAGGTGCCTTCCTGCCCTGACAGGGCAAGGGGATGTGGTGGCTGGCATGGGGCTGGGGCTGGCAGCTCCCTGAGGGGAAGGGTCGGGGTGCCACAGGGCCCCAGGCAGGCAGTGGGGTGGCCCCGGGTCCAGCTTGCCCCAAGGTGCAGGGCAGTCAGGGAAGCCCTGAGGGGGCTGTGGGTGCAGCCTGCCATGAAGGGGGGCAGTGCTGTGGCATTTGGGAGCCATGGCAGGTCTGCACTGGGGGTTGGTGCTGTGAGGGCTGGGGCTGGACAGGGCCTGTGGAGCTTTGGTTCCTCACACTGGGGACATGTGGGGACAACACATTGGGGCCCCAAGTGCCATGGGAGAGGTGCAAAGGCTATGGCGGGGCAGCAGGTTGGCCGCAAGGTGTTCCTCCATGCTAGGACATGGGCCTGTCCCACAGCAGCTTGCCCTCACATGGCTGGGCCGTGCCCATGCTGCTCAGTATCTCTGTTTCCTCACACTTGCCCTGAAACCTCCCAATGGCAGCTGCTGTCTTGTCTGAAAGCAATCTCAGACCTTGCAGACAAGGAGGCGATGGTGCCTGTGACAATCCATCCCACCCCTCCCTGTGTGGTGCCACCCTCTTTGCAAAATTGATGAGAGTGAACAGGAGAAATTGCTCCAATTAACCTCTGGTGCACTGACTAATCAGCTGGTCCTGCATCCAAACACAGCTCCTTTGAACCTGGTGAATGGAAGTGGGGGGAAAATGGGCACTTGAGAGCATTCAGTGCCCTCTTCTCTCCCCTCCCCATGGGCATGCACTTGTGTTGGAGGGCCTGAGTGCTTTTATTTTGCTAAACCACTTTGAAGTGGAAACCAAATTGCATGTCTCCCTCTTCCCCTCAGCTCCCATGAGCCTTCCTGGTTTTAATTAGTTCCATCTGATGTTCAGAGGTATCCAAGAAATAAATGTGCTTTTAAACAAGTGGAAAAAAACAGTGGTGGCAGAGCACAGGGAGCTGCCTCACCGATACGCAGACTGACAAGGGACATGTGGTGAGCATGGCGCTCTGCCTGCATCCAGGCTCAGTTGCCTCCTTTGGCTGAAGAGACTGCGTACGTGTCCTGTGTGCATCAGCTGAAGTTGCAGCCAGGTACCTAAGACCAATGTGATGGGGTAAAAGATCATGGAGAAAGGCATTAGTGTGATGTTGTGCTTGCTAAACAGGCTTTGGTGTTCTTTCTTCTGCTCCTCTGCCCCTCTGCTCTTTCTGTCTGTAGTTCTGTTTCTCAGTCTTGGTTGAAAAAAGCGGTATTGGAAAAGAAACAGCATCTCACAAGCATCTCATCTGATTGCTTCTAGACACTCCTGGCTGTAAACAAAACTTTGCTGAGAAAGACTTGCAGAGTGTGTGCCGTCCCTGTTGGAGTGTGGAATAACTCTAAAGTCCCCACTCAGTGCAGACATTGGATAAGTGGAAAAAGAGGCCAGAGTCTTGTAGAAATAGTGCTGGCCAGAGTCCTTTGGGACAAAAGAGTCAATACCCCCTTCAGGGCTTGCTGTGTACATTTTCCCTCTTCTCCCCATGCCCCTTACATTCCTATGCCACATACTGTCCTCAAGACAGGTTGACAGAGGAGATTTTTATTCCCAGGTAGGTTGCCTTTTCCTTTGGTTTCCTTTGTTCTCCTGACAAGCAAAGCCAGTAATCTCTGCAGTGTTTGCTCTTTTGAGTTGGGAAACAGTGAGTTGGAGCAGGTCCCTCTTATCTTGTCGTAATTAATCTGCTGCTGTCTTCTGCCCTAGTTGTCAGGTATTAAACAGCAGCATGGCTGTGACTGTGGATTAGGTGAGCAAGCTGACTGCAACCGCATCTCCTGCTCCTGCTGGTGCTCCAGTGAAATTCCAGGTGCTCTTGCCATGGCCTGGCTCATCTCTCAGGGAGCGAACATCAGCCTTCAGAGAACCTGTCCTACTGGCATCCTGTTCAGGCACCTTGAAATCTCTTAAAAGACCCACACCCAGAGGGGTAAGTTTTCTTCTGCCAACATGAAACATGTGCATTTCTCATCTGCCTCCCCACCGTGGGGCACCCCCAGGTCTCCCCTGGGGGACAAGCTCCCACTGCTTTGCAGCTGGGGTGCTGCTGCCCTTGGGGAGAGGAAGGTTATTGCCTGTCTCAGGGATGTAGGTTTCTGGGTAGCAGTTCAGTGCTACATTATCCCCTCAGCACATGCCCTGGGTCTGCCTGTCTCTTGTGACCCTCTGGGTCTGTCACACAAGTGCTGCTTGTTATGTGCCCAGGCTGTGGGTTGTCACACACTGACTGACATCCAGGTACTCCAGGAGTTACTCTGGTTACCCTGTGTGTGTAATGCTATAAAATACAGCCTGTCTGGGCCCCGACTTTGCCTTGGGTTCCTTTTCCCAATGTCTCACATTTTTATAGTTTTTAGAAACTTAGGCTGGGGAGGGGTCCTCTCATTAACCCCACACCCCACACTGAGACATGTTCGCATATAACCACTACTAGCCTCTGCTTTAGGGAGAATTCAGCTCAACCCCCCGACTTGAAGCAGATCAAACCTCTGAATTTCAGTTATGTTAGCCAGAACCATACCCCAAAGAGGGCAATAACAGCGAATCTGCCTTTACATGCCTTGGGAGCATCCCTAACCGGGATGGCAGAGCTGTCGACCAGCCAAGACAGGGTTAAGGGGCAGCCTGGCCCCCACAAGGGTTTGGGGTTTAAAGGCAGGGGCGGGCAGTATTTCCTTTCTCCCAGGTGGAGGGGAAGGCTGGGAGATGTCCGAGGCTGCGCAGGGCTGGAGGGAAGCCACGGCTTTTTTTTTTTTTTTTTCTCTCTCTCCACGGTGAAGCTCAAGCAAACTGCAGTCAGGAGAGCTGTGAAGCCCTGGTTTGAGGCCCAGGTACTGCTCCCCTCCTTGTCTCTTTTCCTGGAAGATCAAGCTTGCAAAAAGCTTGTTTTTCTCTCCTTTTTCTGCCCCGGGAAGGCTGGTTTCAAGTAGATAAGGTGATGGTGTCTGTTTGGGGTAAATATGCATATGTATGCCACGTGCAAACTGCCTGCTCTTCTTCAAGGCCCAGGGGAGCTGCTGATGTAGGCTGGGAGGTTTGGGAATAGGCCTGGCTGAAAATTCGTTTCAGTTTTGTCTTTTTTTTTTCTCTTTTTTTGTACATGTGTGTAAGTGGCTGATACCTATGCCTAGGAGTGGGCTGACTTTACTGTTGGTGTAAAAGGGAGAAAAAAAGCTTCTCTGGAGACCGTGCAGTAACTCCACTTAGCCTAGCAGCAAATTGGATCTTTCAAGACTTGCTATCTGCCTTTCAGCTTTACACCTTTATGTGTTTTGTTTCATTTTCTGTTGAAAATCTCAGTTCAGTGAATTTGGGTAGAAAATCATGCTTTTTCTTCTCTACAGTAGCTTGCAAAGCATAAAAATCCTCAAATGCCAGCAGTGCTGGAGCCCCACTCAATTATTGCACATCTCCTGAAGTGATTTCCTCCTCCAAAGAACTCTTCTGCTCTCAAGTATGATTATGTGGTGTCACATTAGTGAGAGCTTTGCAGCTGTGACTCCAGCTGCTCTTTCCTGGGCCGTGTCCTGTCTGAATGATTAAAAAAATATATGGAGCAACAAGCAGATTTGTTCACAGATACGTGGTATCCCCATCCAACAGATTGAGAGGTGGAGAAGGCTTTACAGGGAGCATTTGAGAACATGTTTCAAGGACCTGTGGAAATTGATGAAAGAGAATTATATTCATACGCTGTCGTAAAATGTTGTGTATCATTTTAAAATGCAAAACCAAACAAATAATCCCTTGAAATGTTTCAAGTTTTATAACTACACGTTGTCATTTTGCTTCCAGGTCTGGTTCAAGGCCTGGACTTTCCTCTCTGAAGCTCTGGATGACCTGGGGCCCAAGGTAGGCTTGTGAAGGGGTTAGGTTTTTCTTTCAATTTGTGCTGGTACTGACAACTTGTAAATCATGGCTCGGTGCAGTCATGGTTAATTAAAGGCAGTCACTTAATGAGGAAATAGGAAACACCATTGTCTCAGAGCGTGGGGATTACCGTGCTTGTTTCTGTTTTACACTGCTTCCCTACACTTCAAATTTTGAAGAAAAGAGCAGTGTTTCATGCCATTTTGAGTCAAAGCTTTGTCTGGACTTGGAAGTAGGTAGTGTATGGATGGTGTGGTGTCTTGCATGCGTCTTTGGGCTGTCACAGGGTGCAGGCTCTCACCTCTTAGCTGCCTCAACTTGTGGCATGTGGACATAAAGGAGGGATGATGTCTGAGTACAGGATGGTGTATTATTGCTGCTCTGGCTGAATGAATGGAAAACTTGTAGGGTACCCAGTGGAAGCCAGCACTTGCAATCCAGCAGTCTTGTTATTCCTTGTGTGGATATGCTTGGGTGTTTCAGACCCCCCCCCAAGGGCTTATTGCAGTTACGGATGTCCCAGTTCTCACAGGTGATGGATATGATGGCAACACAAACCACAGAACGAGGACCGTGTGTCTAAAGCCTGTTCTACCTTGCAGTTGCCCCTCAACCAGAAGGGACAAATTCTGATACTCCATTGATGCGGTTCTCCTTTGGAATGAATACTTATCTGCATCTAATCTGCCTGTTAAGAGTTGGAAGTTCTGGAGAGGTTGTGTTGTAACTTTTTTGGTATTGCTTAAAACAGAACAGGGTGAGGCTCACTTGTTCACCCAATCAGTCACACCCAGATTTTGGAACAGCTGTGCTGGGATTAGAAGGTGCTAGAGATTACAAAGGCACTGCAGGGTTTAGTTCAAGGCTGCTGACCTAGAATGTCTCCTTTGTTGGTGAGAAGGCTTACTGGATAGTTAACATTGGTGAAATAAGTGCACAGAGAACTGAGTGACTGAGAGCTTTGAAGTGTTACTTCCTTTGCAGAAGACTAGGGAGTTGTACTTTGAGAGACCACATGTGCTTTGTACCATGGGACTGGTCCTGGGGACCTGTGGCTTCAGGCTGTTTCAGTTACTAGTTTTTTTTTTTCTGTATTTTGTCAGTGCTATGTATTTTCCCTCCCTCCCCAATTTGTTACTCCTTTTCTTTGTCACCTCCCACCATGCAGATTCTCTTCACACTAAGCATCCTCTGTGTAATATATCCTCCTAAAGAGCTTGAAGGTATTAGGGCAGTTTGACCAGAGAGATGTAAAACTTTTGGTATGAGTTGACTCAGCAGAATAGTTTCAGGTATCAAATTAGTTGAATTAGTTAATGAAAAGCTACCTGTGCCATTACAATTTAGTCAGAATGCTGTATTTGAGCATTGATTTCAGCAGCTTTGATGGTGAAAATGTTGGCAAGATACTGCTGAGTATTCAAAGTAGAACAGAGACAAATTTAGAAGTCTTGTTTCACTGAGGATGATAGTTTTTCTCATCAGTTATATGAGCTATCCAAGTTTTTGCCAGATTTACTTTCTGGTTGAAGTGAGATGCTCTAGTAAATGAATACTGTATGTAAATGAATATAGTATCTTACTGAAGTTTGCAAAATCAGAGTTGTTACATTTAAATTAATTTAAGGCAAGGCCTTGGTCATAAAATCCAGTCAAATTAACAAAAAGAACTGAAATCTTACTCATTCCCTGAATGCTGCTGCCAATTCCCTGCATGTTTGCAGTTATAATTTCTTAAAAATACTTTTTTCTCCTTGGAAGAGGCATACAATTTTTATCAGTTAAGGAAGTTGAAATTACCTCTTCAGAAAGCATTCTCTAATGGATTTTCATAGCATGCTGTTCCTCCTTTCTCTGATTCTTTTCAGTTGCAAAAATATTTTAACAGTTGTCTCTGACAATTGTGGGCAAATATTTGCAGATCTGCATGCTATCTGTGGTGGATGGTGTTTCTAATCCTAAACAAAGCTCTTAAGACTCCGGACTTTGGGCTTTCATGAAAGTTACTGTTCATTGTATTTTATTTCTCTTTAATTTAAGAGCAAGCCCTGTTAATCCATACTTAAGAAGCTGATGCTTTATCTTTTAAGAAGTACGTGATGACTGTGATAGATCAACCTGTGTAATTAAGCAACAGCAGCAGAACGATGCTGTGCTCTGCTCTGGGTTCCCAAAGTATAACCTTGTACAGCAGAGCACTTAAGCATGTGCTTAAATTTAAACACATGAGTAGTTGGGCTGAATTCAATACATCTACTGTGGGTTTGAAGTAAAGCACTTGCTTAAGTGCTTTGTGTGGCTGGAGCTTATAAGATTTCCATAAATCAGAAATGTCTGCATTCCACCTTTCAGCCCTGCAGAAATCCATTTTAAGTCCTCTAACGTATGCGTTTTGCTACATCATATGTGCCACTGAGCTGTCCTGAAGGCAGGCTTGCTGAGGTTGTCTCGTAATCATCCTCAGCAAACCATGGGGATGCTGAAGAAGTTGAGATTTAAATTAGTTATCTATGCTGCTTCTGTGTGCAGTTGTATGTGAACCCTCAATAAGGACTGCCAATTAGGGAAGCAAGGAAATTGTCTGTGAAGCCCTTTTCTGGGAAAAGCGTGTTCTGCCTCAAAGCAGCTTCGCGCTGTACTGCTTTATAAATGTTTATAAAAACATCTTTCACATATTCCTGCATGTTGTGCTGGGAGATGTGAAATCCTTTTCCTTTCATGAAAAGAAACGGTGCAGGGGGAGCGGGAGGTAACTGGTTAGCTTTGCAGCTCAGCTGGTAGACTGCCTGGAAAGGAGCCAAGGGGCCTGGGTTCAGTCCTCTGATAAGTCATCAATTTCTTTCTCACCAAAAACATCTGGTTTTGGATGCTGAGTTATGAGCTAATATTAAATACAAAAGTTTATAGCATCACATATATAATATTGTTGATTAGAAGCATCAAGTAAAGTAATTGACCAGAGGGGACTTGGTGTGAGCAGCTGGTAGAGCATCTGGAGGGGAGCCAAGGGGCCTGGGTTTAATTCTCAGGTCATCTATTTCTTTCTCACCAGAAACATCTGGATTTGGATGCTGCAAAGCTACAGACTATTGTCTCATGCAAATGTTTCTGGGATCACACGTTTTCATGGAAATGTGATTCCAGGAACATTTCCATTAAGTGTTTACACCCAGGGAATCCTGTAAGGGTGATAAGACAAAAGGCGCATTTCTGCATCCCGTTACAATCAAAAGCAAAGCGCAGTCCTGTGACGGGTGCCTGGGCTCTGTACAGACACAATTTCGAGCAGCCTGAAGCATGCATCTGAAATCTACAGGGGTGACCCTGGGAAAGTGGCACTGCTCCAGAGCCCAGAATTTGGGTGCATGGGGTGCCCGTGGCGGTCGCGGTGCCCCGTAAGGGGTGTGGGGCTGGAGGTGTCCCAGCCTGGTGCTGCTAGGGGCTGGCCCAGGCTCTGAGCTCTCTGGGCACTAGGTGTCAGAAGAGGCTCATGCTTGTGCTGCCTGAAGCCTGGTGGCGGTCTCGAAGCCCACCGAGCTGTCAGTGGCCCCAGGGGCTGCAGGAGACCGCAGCCTGCAGCACAGGGTGCGGGGATCCCCCAGTGCGGGGACTTGCTTTCGGTGCTGTTCGCAGGAGATGCATTTCTCAGCTCTTTGAAGATGCTTCAGTAGAGTCTGTCGTGCTGGATGAGCAAAATGTGAGCTTGGGGTTAGAGCAGGTTTTCACTGCTTGTTCTCTGCTCCTTTCCTCATGTTTGCTCTGTGACAGCGGGAGGAGGGAGGTCCTGATCACTCTGGGGACCAGAGGGTGAACCCCCCGAAGGGAAAGGGGGCCAGTTCCTAAAAACAGCCCTTTACCTGTACTGCAAATCCGTGAGCAGGTTTCCCAGACTGTGGTTGCTGTTGGCAGGCGGTGGTTTGGACCTCACCTGGGGCAGGCCTGATCCCATCTGCTCACCGCAGCCAAGTGACACTGCAGAGTGTGAGCTGAAGGCGTGGGCTCTGGATTAAATCCAGCAGTTATCGATAGCTCAGCAGCGAGTGGCAGGTGATCCCCCAGGATGGTGGCACTGCGTGCAGCTCTGAAAACAACGGCTGTCCACTGTTCTGCGGCCGGTCAGCATCTGGAGATGGTTTCTGGTGACTGTATCCCTGTGTGAGCTGCCAAGGTGCCTCTGGAGCCTGTCTCTGCAGCCATCCAGAGATGGCTCTGGGGTGATTTGTTCCTTGGATGTGCCCATGGCTGAGAACCTTTTTCTGGCTCGCTCATACTCCAGTCCTTTGGCATTTTGGCCTTTAATTTATGGTGAAGAGGCACAGCCGTCTCTCTAATTATTTTGCCAGAATTCTCACAAGAGTCTCATCTTAGTTTTGGTTAACGGAATTAAGCGGCCAAATGGAAATAAAATATTAGCCTACTTGAGTTTACCAGCTGAAATGGTTTAGAACATCATTACTAGGCTAATTCCACCATTCCTGCCCTGTCCCCTGAATAAAATGCCATTAAAAAGAGGGAACAGAATGGTACATTTCCAGAGGAATATTACATTTCCTAAGTATGGATTTTAACAGCCAATCTCAACCAAACAATGCACTATATAGTGCCAGAAATAATAAATCAGCGTAGCCCTCAGGACTGAAACGGAGAATTCCCTCTCCCCTTGTAGCTCCTTGGAACTTTAATCTGAAATATGCCACGAATCAAAGGCAAACTTATTGGTACACAGGAATTCCCATGCTTGGTCAAACCTGATTTCCACAGAGTCTAGCACTTTGCTGCTGGCGGTGGCCAGAACCAGATGCTAGGGAAAAGGCTGAAAAGAGTTGTTGGGGGGAGAAATGTTTGCAGTAACATGTCAGCAGAGAGCACTTGATTTTGTTAGCTTCCTTTATTTGCAAAGGATGTCAGAGCACCTGCCCCCAGCCAGCAGAAATTACGCTCTGGTCCTGTAGGCATCCTTGTTAGTGGGGAGATGTGGGAGT